TTTTTTAAGAAAACCATACCAGAACCAAAACAGCTCATAGTATTTAAGGCTTGTAACACCTGGAGAAGAAAAGGTAGAGAAGTTCCAAAAAAATGCCGACCACTTTTAAGCACCTTAATGTACTTTGCAATGTGAAAACATTGCTTTTAAAATTTGGTGTTTTGCTATCAATTCTTGGTTTCGAGGTTTCTACTAATTATGGTGTCAGGTTTTGTTTTAGTCTTTAGATACAAGCTAAGCTAAGAGTTAACGGTTTGTTTTTATCTAAGAATATGATGTGTATGTAGTTCACTTTGATGGTTCTCTACTCTATTGCCATGGCGTCAGTCTTTTTGGTTTTTCTCCTATGAAATTGTACAAAGAGATAATGTTAATGTAGAATTATGTGTGTTTTAAATAATGAAGTTGCTGTTGGAACATTAATTACTAGAGTTTTTTTTTCTTTTCACAGTGAAAGGATAAACTTAATTCAGTAATGGAGTTTGGTGCTCCAGAAAAAGTATTAAGAACCTTAATTTCTTTTGTGCGGTATAGCACTTAAATTAATTAACCTATGTAACCTTGGTTAATTTGGAAAAAAGGAACTAGCTTTCCGTTCTTCATTGATTTGGGGAAAATGAGCCTAAATCAGCAGATGTTATAAATCAGATAAATGAAACTTAGCCAAGACATTCAGTAACGTCTTATGATTTAGAGATATCTACAAAGATAAATATAAATAAATATGAAAATTCACTGCAGATGAACAATCCAGTATGTACAATGTTACATATTTTCAAAATGTCAAACACTGTGTAAAGTCTGATTCAAATGCATTTACAAAAGGCAATAAGAAAAATCGATCAAAATTTCTTAAGATAGGCATCTATGTGCATAACAAACATACATTTAAAAAAAAAGGAATTTCCCTCTATTGTTGATTAATATTGTCTTCCTTTTTTCCTTATAGAACATGTTTTATAGTCAAATGTCCATATTGATTATTCAGCTGATGAAGTTTTTGTTATTTACAGTTTATTAAGGATGATCCAAACCAGATGAGAGTTTTGGCAATCAATTCTGGCTTTTGAGTCTTTTGGCCTATCAATCTTCCTTTACAACTCGATGATGACGAATTAGGTGAAGCTGAAGTAGATGCACTAACTGGTAATGGTGATAAACAGGGTTAATTGCTCTATCGCCATAATTTGCAAAGCACACATCATGATTTAATGGATTCACCGTCAGCTAGGTGGTGACCCAATAAAGGAAGGAGGGGATCAGATAATGACCTAATGTATCATCCTGCTGTTAGACCACATAGGAACATGAATTATTAATTTCACCAAGAGGAAAAATTTACAGCATCAATTAAATTCATTACACCGTCAAATGCATATAAGTTAAATTCCTTTAAACTTTCATTATGTAACAGATTTGAAGCAAGTGTATGGAAAAAAAAATACACTGGCAGGACAGGTGTAGAAAGAATAGACAAGTTAAGTCGAACTGTTGGTAAGCAAACAGGTAACCTAAACACTCAATTTTTTCGCGTAGAGCACATTTAGTACATCGATGAAGTTTGATAGGAAGAAGATAGTTATAAACATTTAAGATAACGAGAACAAATGGCTGAATTCCTCTTGAGGGGTAGTTTTTTATTTTATTTATATCGTATGATTTACACATCAATAACTACTGTATTTTGATTTTCCTATGATTTACACCGATTTACTACTCCACTCCATATGTTCATGTTTACCCTAAATCCCAGCATTTTTTTTAATGAAGCGCCCTACACCCCTGCAATCTGCATTACTATGAGGCAATGTCAAACTAATTAACTTTTAAATTGTATAAACTGATCCCTGTTCTAAGAAAAAAGTATTAGAAACTAATGCCTAATGATGGAAAAGATAATTACATAATAAGATTATCTTTATACATTAACTCTTTCGTTTAATTGATGATAACATCATAAACACAATAACAATTCTACTAAAATAGTGTTTTCGAGCGTGTAAGATTACATTTAGCTTGAAATCAACTACGTTTAGCAGATGATAATGTTGATTTTTCACATTGACAATTATTTATTATTGCAAATGTATAGCAGAAATTTCAAATCTTACTAAATTTTCCTTCTACATAGAAATGGCTAATTCATGTATTATATTTATAAATATAAATAATTCTCTTTTAACAAAGTTTTGGCTAAACCCGATCCCCTAATCCCTAGGAATATATATATTGGGTTAACTAATCCCTAGGAATAAACTCCTCGTTGGAAGATCTTTTTTTTGTACAAGTTGTACTCCGATTAAATAATGAAAAAAGCCATTAATTTTAATATATACGTCTTATTTAGAATAACATTAATTCATTTTTTTTTCTACTTAAAAGTGTCGCTTGATATAGTTAACCTAACTCATTTAGAATTAAGGTGCAGTTATAATAAATTTTTAATATGAATTAAAAATTATATTTAGTACTATACATAATTTTGAATGAGGAAAAATTAGAATTCTAGAATGATCGGAAAATCACCTTTGATTTGGGGTTAAACTAATCCCAATCTTATATTTCTCCGCGAGCGACCAAACACATCTGAATTCTCATCTCTTAAATTTTCTCTTCTAGTGATGTGTTACATGTTACGTTGGGTTGAAATGAGTACTCAATTTCAGTGACAAGTGAGAGGGCTCTGTAATGGAGGCCAGGCGCTGTGCAAGAGAGGTATAACTTTTTGATCTTCATTTATCATTCTTAATATTAAGATAGGGTGTAGGGTTCAGGATTTTCTTGATTTTTGGGTATTGGTCTATGCTGCTGCAAACTGCAATTTATTGAATTGAGTTATAAATTATTTGGGTTTGAAATGAGTACTCATCAGAATAACATCAGATCGTATGTGCATTGAATTCCTCGCCCCCTTTTTTTCAGTTGTGGATGGTTTTTGGGGAAACAGAAGGTCAATTTTAGTGAGAAGTGAGAGGGGCTCTGTAGTTTCTTGATCTTGATAACATGGAGGCCAGGCGCCGTGTGCAAGACTTTTTTTGATTTTTTGATCTTCTTAATATTAACACAGGGTTTTGGTTCATGTTTTCTTGATTATCGGGGTATTGGTCTAATGCTGGTTAAAGTGAGTATTATAGATTACATGTTTTCTTAACTTTCTGAACTATGTGATATATGTTCTTTTGAGATTAGCTTTCTGATTATCATGTCATATGTCAATTGTTACATGTTAGAGGTGTCCCAGATTAGAAATTATGGCTAAGAGGACTCCATTGAGAGTTCCATTGGTAATTTACTAGATGTATTGGATGAGGTACGAAAATATAGTTTCAACATAAATTTGAATGTTAAAGGTTGTTGGAAAGAAATCGTCAGTTGAAGTAAGTGACCTGGATTTAGATTTAGGATATTTGTAATGGAAAATTACTTTCGCCAATAAGTGAGTGAAGTCTTTTCCGCTCTTTTGGTGGAAAATCATGAGTAGGGAAAATATTTTCTTGACTTCAAGATAAGTTAACAATAAAGAGAACATTTTGAGAGGAAAATGTTTTCAGCCATACTGAACTCACCACCTCAATAATCCATTGTCGGATTTAACAAGTGTGCAGTTGGAGAAGTAAAAAACATAAACGATCAGAAAGAAGCACATTACTTCCGCATGGAATATCACGCCCATTTAGGAACATTCCTCCATTATAGTAGACGACAAAGGTAAAATGTGTATACAAGTCTCAATTGCCAATGCTTCCAAACACTAGAACAATCTTATGAAGACGTCAAGACAATCTTAGGGTAGAAGGTACATTCACAAAGATGATGTACATAAAATGTGGATGCACTTTGCACCACTGTTAGCATTTCAAGGGCATTTCAAGATTAATCATTCCCTTTTCTGTCGATTAGCGGTCAATACATTAATGACAAATTTTCTCAAAATCCAGGCATAAAATTATTTATGGATTTAAGAAATGAAATGACCGTCAGCAAAATTGGCTTTTCCCATCTTACTTCAGATTGAATAGCTATTCATTTTGCACGTCAATAAATATTTTGTTCCTGAAAAGGCGAAAAGGACATTTTGGTATATATGTCCTTGAAAAGGTGAAATCATCATCATTTTGTTCCCAAGGGTGTGGCCTAGTGGTTAAGGAATTGGTTGAGAACCCTAAGGTCTCATGTTTAATAATGCTGGGTGATTCTTCTCATCTATCCTAGCCTTGGTGGACAGAGTTACGTGGCATCGATGTGCATGAAAACTAGCGCTTAAGTCACAGTCATCAAAAACATAAAAAGGTACAGTCGCAAAGATATGACCTACATAAATAATTTTAACAACAAAACTGCTAACTAACGAGAATATACATACCGAATGTCCTTTAACCTTTTCAGGAACCAATGACGTACATAAATCTCCAACTTACTTTACGAGAGAATGTGTACCAAATGTTCTTTCAGTTTTCCTGGAACCGAATGATAATTGACGAGCATAATTGATAGCTATACAATTTGATGTAAGATGAACATTTGTCACTTGCACATTCTCGTAAAGTATGTTGGATATATTCGGATAAAGTAAGTTGAAAATAATCAGTACGTCATTATTCAGATTCTGAAAATGTTAAAGGACATTTGGTACATGTATTGTCGTGAAGTAAGTTGGACATTTATGTACGTATATTCTCGTGAAGTAAGCATTTATCTAGTTAAAAATGTTTTGTGTACGTCATTTTTGCGAATGTATGTTCTACCGTAAGCTTGTTATGTCATCTTTGTAAAGATTGTTATAACTTTTGGAAGCGGTGACAGTTGAAACTTGTATGCATATATACCTTTGTCGTCTATTTTAATGGAGGAATATTCCCAAAATAGCATGATATCCCATTTGGGAAACGTCTATTATGCTCTTATTCCTTTTTTCTAAGGTTATTGGGAACATGTTGATGCCTCATTGCCTGATTTTCCTTTCTTATCTGTCAATGTTCTTAGCTTGTTCTGTACTTTGTAATGTAGCATGTTATGGCTTCTTCCTACTTTTCCTTTTCAAAATGAGAGATGATTTTAATAGCTAACAATAATAAATAAATAGGAACAAAAGCGGATGGAGTTAATGCGAGAGTTTTGTTTTGGCTTTGCAGTGAAAAGATTTAGTTTCCTTAACTGTCAGCCTTCTATTTGATTATGAGACAATTGCATACTCATATTGGAAGGTGGAATGTTGGGTTCATAAGATTATAAGCTCCAAAATTTACTACATGTTATAAGTAATGTAGACATTCTTGAGAAAGATGACTTGGTCCCTGAAGGATGCTTTGAGTATTAGTGCTTTTCCCTTACATACACTAAGGCAAAGGGAGAAGAGTCTATTTTAGCGTACAAGTTATTGAAAGTTGGATGTCATAGCCGTAATATTGATGTGATTTACATTGTATAATTTTCCTACATTTGTCGGCAAAGTCTTATTAGGTTAATTCTCGTGGGCTTTGAAATCTTCCCCTAAAGTTTTTGTTGTCTATTATTGTCATGGTTATGGATTCATGCACTTTTTTTGTTGAAGGTCTCTGGCTTGCAAAAGCATTTAAAGTCTCAGACAAGTTATCTTCTTATAAAAGAATTTGTAATAACTATCATTAACTGTTGGCATTCCAGGGAAATTAGCATCTTTTTTGTAATGGAGTTGTTCCAATGGATTACCCTGGTGGGCTTTAAGAAGGCCTTCCTTCATGGTTACATACCAAGTTTTGACTAGCGGGTTGAGTGTTGACGATGTCATTGAGCATTACTTAAAATTTAAAGGTATGACTCAATTGGATAATCTACTTCATCGTCTTCATCATAAAATTGATTCTTCTGAAAGGGTCAAGACACAAATAATATGTAGAAATTAAATTCAAAATATCTTACAAGTGAAGGTCTGAGCCATGTGAGCTTAAGTTTTTGTTTCATTATTTTTCTATAAATTATGTAGATAGCTCAGTTGACTCTGATGGTAAGCTGAAGGCGTTTTAGGCCTGCCTGATAAATGGCTTCAACAATCTCTAAGACCGGAGGACTGTTGTTTCTGCTGAATTAGTGAAGGCTGACGTTACTTTTGGAACCCTTCTGTAAAAGTGAAATAGCATCTTATTGCGGGTGAATGTATAAGTAAAATGAAATAATCTTTCTTTTTGGTATGGAGACTTGTTTGAATGGTGAAATAAGGGCCAGTTCTCAGTTGCATTAAGCAATGATGAATAGCTTCTAGTAGGACTATCTTGATTGGCTGAGCATTATAATTAGATGCGCAGATACTGACCGTTTCTTCCGTGTGCAGACTGCCTATAATGTCATCTCTTACAAACATAAACCCCGTTTACTGACCGTCCTGGAGTTGCTGAATGCCACAAAAGAGAGATAGAGGGACTACTAGAAAAGGTGTGTCACCTGTTTCAGCTTTTCTTTTGAATTAGTGTAAAAGTTCATCGCAGTGTTTAATTTTTTAAGTTGTTGATATGTGAATATTTTCCATCCATTTATGGGAGTTGCTCCACAGTCCGAATGTCTATCATGTTCTGCTCGTGTAGTTTACGAAACACTTATCCTCATTTAGCTTTATATAGAGTCACGGGAACTGTCCATAACAGTGCACACAAGTTAATTAAGCACCCCATTTAAGTAAATACACAATTTTTTTGACACTATTGATGTACAAAAGTTAATAAGTATCATTTTTAGTAAAACAATTTTCTTTTTTATATTATTGATGCACAATAGTTAAGTAAGTACCGTTTTGTAAAAAGCTATATAAATTTTTTGACACGACTGTTGCAAAAACTTCAGTTGATCACCCCAATCTCATTAATGTTTTCTGTTGTTCATGCCTTTTTTTGTTGCCGCTAGATCTTCATAATCCTTTTAGAGTTGCAATTTACTCGACCAGATTTGAGATATGCAACCTGAGATATAAGAGTCGGGCATTCGGTCATTTGGTTTGCTTTCGATTTTTGAAAATTGTTTTACTGAATGCCGAACTGAATTAATTTGGTTCAGTTTGTGATTTTTTAATTCGATTGTGATTTTTTAATTCGATTCATTTTTCGTAATTCGGTTTTGAAATCACTGGTTGGTGGTCGCTGGAGGCTTAACTTGGAAGTGAAATTTGGAAGAGAAGGCTAGAAGGCAGAAGCAGAAGGTGGCAGAAATTGGAAAAACAAAAAATGAAACGTTAACTTGCTAGTTGCGAAGGGTAAAAAATGAAATAAACTGAAAATGCTTAATAGAATTAATAGCTACATAATATTTAGTATAGTATGCATATTAGTGTGTATATTTTGGTTAAAATCCGAAATACCAAAATATGAAAAACTTATTATCGAAATCGAAACATCAAAAATAAAAAATGATGTTACAGAAACCAATATATCAAAAAAAAAAATTGGTTTGGTTCGGTGATATTAAACCAATATATCAACAAAAAAAAATTGGTTTGGTTCGGTGATATTAATGTGGGCTGGACGTAACTATCGAAAATCCGAAATACCATATCAAACTGATTTAATTTCCGGTTTCCTGTGACATGTTTTTGTATTTTTGATTTTTCGGATTGGTTTTTGATAAAATATGTTTTTATATTTTTGATATTTCGGTTTAATGAAATATATACTCTAATATATATACAAAAAATAATAAATATTATGTAATAATTAAGGAAAAATAACTTAAATACACAACTATAAGTTTTATATTCTCTAATTTTCCTTTCTTTTTTTAAATATTACATAATTCTCTTTTTTTTTTTAATTTTACGGTAAACAGATACATTACATTCTCTCTCCTATAATACACAATCACCCATTTTAATGCCTATTTTTTCTCCATTAAAACACGCA